TAAAAACAACATTTTTTATATTAACATTCTAAATATTTATCACTTTTGTTTATTTTATTTTACATAAAGAGTGTTTTGCCAAAATTTATGTCCTTGTACTTGCATGCCTGGTACCCATGGAGGTCAAAAGAGGGAGCTGGATCTCTTGAAACTGGAGTTAGGGATGTTTGTGAGCTACCATGTGGGTGCTGGGGATGAAACCCATGTCCTTTGTAAGAGCAACAAAGAGCCCTATTGTTTTAAGTTAACAAACATTTTCTGATGTTTAATTTTCAAAATGGTAAGCATTAGCAAAAGCAATCTATATAACTTAAAGCTATTTGGAGTTCTTAATAATGTTTAAGTGTAACACTGTCCTGAAACCAAAGGGCTTGACAGCGCAATTCAGTTGCATAACTTAAATTGTTCCTTACTAGCTGATGGTTACCTGATGTCAACTTGTTTTTACTTTAAATCATACCGAATGAATACGTTTATGTTTATGTGCGTTTTATTTCTCATGTGTTTAATTAATCTTTTTTTTTCTTTTTTTTTTAAGCTTGAGGACCAATTTATTGAAGTGTGAGGGGAAAACTACTGAGACGGCAAGATGTAAATCCTGGCAGCACTTAGGAGGAGGGAGAAGGAGAGGAGAAACAGAGAGCGTCACTTGTGAATCAGGGCCTGCGAAAGCAAGCAAAACCAGCAGTGGAAGTCTTCAAGCAGCTGAGGAAAGTAGGGATTGCAAAACAGGGAGAAAGTCCGCAGTGTCAGGAAAGCAAGCTCAGGGCTTCAACTGGTATTCAAAGAAGAGGTGGAATGGTAAAAATACATGTTAGGCTTTTGGAGTTAAAACTTGAAAACCAGCCGGGCTGTCGTGGCACACGCCTTTAATTTCAGCACTCGGGAGGCAAACACAGGCAGATCTCTGTGAGTTTGAGGCCAGCCTGGTCTACAGAGCTAGTTCCAGGACAGGTTCCAAAGCTACAGAGAGACCCTCTCTCGAAAAACAAAACCAAAACAAAATAAAACTTGTAAACCAGGCAAGCTTAGCAACATGCTAACAACGGCCACAGTCTGTGTTACATTGTTGGAAGTGGAGTTGTGGGTTCAAATACACTATTTCATCCCATCTTTTTAACACGTTATGAAAGTTATTTTCACATACTAGAAAGCAAACCTGACAGAAGTCAAACAACGCTTATTGATGAAGCTTGGAAGCTATGTTGTAGAAACTCTGTTCTTTGATGGAACTCTGAGCTAAGTATTCTTCATGCATCCCTCTCATCAGTAGTTTAATTCACTTACCTAAGGGGCTTTATTCTTGACTGCGTCTAGGTTATTTCCTGGGACGTCCAGGAAGGGGGTGAGTGAACTCAACCCCTCAAGCTAAGACTCGCTATTTGAAATAATAAGAGTGCTAACAAAGTTGTTTTACTGTGACTCATAATAATTTCAGCCCTCCAAACAAATTGAGAGGTAGATTTTACTTTTTAAAATTGATGATATGTATGCGTATTTTTCTTGTGCATATGTACACACACCATGGCATGTTTGGTGCCCTCAGAGGCCAAAAGAGGGCATCAGATCCCCTGAAACTGGAGCTGTATATTTGTATGCTGCCTGGTGGGGGTAAGGTGCCTTGCGAGTGTTGGAAATTGAACTCTGGTTCTCTGGAAGAGCAGCCAGGGCTCTTAACCACCAAGCCATCTCTCCAGCCCCTTGATTTTAGAATCCACTAGAGTTAAAACCAAATCACAAAATTTCTGGAATAAACTATCTGTGTAACTGTTGTGTAACAGTTTCCTCTGCGAGGGAAACATTCCATCTTACAGGGAAGCTCCTGAAGCAAAAAGGTAAACAACTCAAAACAGCTTCAGGAAGTCCCTGAAACTGACAAGATCTACTAAATCCTTCCCTGACAGAGTAAGTAACTGTTGAGCTGTCTGCAGGCTGTGCAGGGTGCTCCAGGTTCCCAGCCTTTCCTACACATCCCAGGGTGGCTGTTTGGTAATGTAGTTCTCTAGAATTATTTCTGCTCCTTCAAGTAACCACCAAAACTCATTGGTTCACCAAGTCGGACTTTGGGGGTATCTGTTCTTTGGTCTGTTGTGGGATGAGCAAATTAGTGTGTTGAGTCTCACCAGGAAAAGTTTTGTCATACAACAATAATCAAATCATGTTGAAATATATTTGACAAGGAGACCAAAAGCACAAACCACGTTAGCCATTTGAAAAACAAACAACAACCACACACAAATATATTTTGATATGTCACCTGCCTCTGTCTCCTGGGTGCTGGGATTAAAAGCATGCACCAACACTGCCCAGCCGTATCTATCTTTTTAACAACTCATGAAGCTTGCACCGTGCTGCTGCTGCCTGTGACTTGTGCACACAAAAGAGATAATCCTAAGAATATGTCAAAAATAAAACATGGACGCATTAAAGACGTAGCTTGGCAGTGCCCTATTTGCTTAGCATGTTTGAAACCCTGGATTTGATGCCCAGCATTGGCGAGATAGAGAGAAGAAAGTAGGGAGGGGAGGAGGAAGGCAAGAGGGAAAGAGAATGGGGAAAGAGAGAGAATATATTTACCAAACCAAGGATCTTTCTTTTTCTTTCTTTCGTTTTTGAGACAGGGTTTCTTTGTGTAGCTTTGGAGCCTGTCCTGGAATTAGCTCTTGTAGACCATGCTGCCCTCAAACTCACAGAGATCCGCCTGCCTCTGCCTCCCGAGTGCTGGGATTAAGGCGTGCACCACCACCGCCCGGCTTTAAATTAATTATTTTAAAAAATAAAATAAAAAAATAAAATAGTGCGGAACATGGTGTCACATGCCTTTAATCCCAGCAGAGGCACGCAAAGCTCTGTGAGTAGAGTATAGCCTGGCCTACCTAGAGTGTTCTAGGTTAGCCCGGAATACAGTGAAACCCTCTCTCAAACAAAACAAAACACACAAAACACTCCAAACTGTCAAAAGAAACCCTAGCTCCTCAAACTCCAAAAGGCAGTCCAAATATCCAGAAATAGGCTCAATCTGGTCTAAAGAAGGATTTCTGCCCGTTAGATAAAAGCATCCCTCAGGAGCTTGTGAAGCCAGTCCCTCTCTACCAAAAGGAGTTATTATTCCCCTTGTCACTGGCAGAAGGGAGCGGTGGCTACCTGAGGCACCTATCAGCATATCAAAGCGCATGCTGAGTACCACAAGTACCTGCTACACATTTTAAAGTCTGCGCTAGCACCCTGCCCTTCTCACCTCCTCTCGCTACTCATTCTTTTCTAACCCTGCTACTCTTGCTACAGCTACAGAGTTTTCTCTCCCTCTCTGCTGTCTGCTCCTGCTTCTCTGTTTTCTCTATGTCTATTCCCTGCTCATTCCCCTTTCTCGCAGATACTCCTGGTCATGTTTAGTCTGCTGGTCATTTTCCATTTTCTTTCTTTGGACTCTACCAGACGCCTCTGGCTGTTCTCTCTCTTATATGTACAATAAAAACCTTTCCCTTAACCATGCCATGGAGTGTGGTCATGTCATCAGTTTATGCAAAAAGAACTAACTCTCTCTCTCTAGAGAGAGAAACTGAATATTTTTCCATAGCGCCTCATAGCCCAATCGAGCCCTGCCAAAGTAAATTGTTTGCTTTGTATATTTTGAAAACAGATCATAGAAACCTAAGATATTTTCCCGTATTTCTCAGAATCTGTATTTATTTGCTATTGTTTTTTTGATTTTCAAAATAGGGTTTCCTTGTGTAACCTTCACTGTCCTGGAACAATCTCTGTAGACCCACCTGCCTCTGCCTCTCAAGAGCTGGGGTAAAGGTGTGTGCCACTACCGCTCGGTCAGATACTGTTTTTTGTTTACTTCTTTTGTTGTTGTTTTGTGATGTTTGTTTCTGCATCACGCTAGTTGTCCTGGAATTTACACTGTAGACTAGTCTGACTTCGAACTCAGCGATCAGACTGTTTCTACTTCCTGCGTGCGGGCCTTAAATGCACGCTTGGTTTTTGCGGCTGTAACTTGGCTGGCCTCGAATTCATAGAGTTCTACCTTGCTCTGCCTCCTGAGTGCTGGTATTAAACGATCGAGCCTGAATACAGGCTCAGACACTGTATTCTAAGGCCATTTAGAAGTGCAGTCGATTAAGATAAGAGTTATTAGGCTCAGGGCTGGGTGTAGCTATTTTGAATACCCTTCCCAAAACGTGAGGGACTTTCGTATTTCCAACTCCTTGGCGCGCGCGTTGCTCACACAGCACCTCTTTTTTTTTTTTGGATTTTTCGAGACAGGGTTTCTCCGTAGCTTTTGGTTCCTGTCCTGGAACTAGCTCTTGTAGACCAGGCTGGCACCTCTTAATCAAAGCATTTTCCCGGGAGACTCAACTCCTGCAAGGCTTCCTAGGTGTTTTTACGAGTGAAGCTGCGTGCAGGAGTTCCTCCCTCCCGTCTGGGTTCCGGGTAGGCCAGGCACCTCCTCCCTCGCCTCGAAGCCGGAGGGACAGCTGGCCGGGCGAGCCCCGCCCAGGCTCCCGGGAGCACCTGAGACTGGGGCGACGGGCCGGCCGGGGAGTGGAGGCCGTGGCTCCAGCAGCTTAGTCCAGCCCCGCCCGGCGGCAGGCGAAGGATGATTGACGGGGCCGCCCAAGGGTGGGAGGAGTGCAGAGGCGGGACGGAAGGGGCCCGGTGGAGCTTGGTGCAACCGGTTGGGCCGGTCCTGGAGAACAGCCGTCCTCTATTGGCTTCCCTGGGCGGGTTGTTATGGTAACACATGACCGAACAGTCGCTTACGAACTGGCCAATGAGAGCCGGCCGTCCTCGGCGCCACGCCTCCGAGCGGGAGGGGCGGCGACAGCCCGGTCGGGGCCGAGGAAGAAGGAGGCGCCAGGACGTCCTGCGGAAGAGCCGGGGGCGGGGCCCGTGACGCGCGCGCGGGCCAGCCAATCGCGCCGGGTGTTCCCAACGGCCCCGCCCCTTGACCGCATCTTCTCCCCGCCCCTAGCTCATTTCGCACGACGCAGCGGTTGGGCCCCCAGACATTTTCGGAGCTGGAGCCGCCGCCGCCGCCGCCATCTTGTGTGCGTGGAGAAAGAAGCCCCGGCGGCGGCTGGACGCGGACGGAGGTTCCCCCCCCCGTGAAGCGGCGGCGGCGTTTCTTCCCCGAGGTTCCCCCTGGGTCGTCCCCCATCCCCCCTCCCTCCGCGGTCAGCATGTGGTGAAGCCGCAGCCGCCCGCCGGAGACCCGGGGAGCGAGGCCGAGGCGTCGCAGGCGAGCGAGCAAGGAAGGAAGGAAGCAAGGCAGGGAGGCGGGGTGTCGAGCGGCTGCGGCGGCGGCGGACCTCGGAGGGGGGCCGCGGCGCAATGTCAGAGCCGACGCCGGCCGAGGCCGGGGCTGCGGGGGCCCGGGAGGACGCCTGTCGGGATTATCAGTCGTCGCTGGAAGACCTGACCTTCAATAGCAAACCGCACATCAATATGCTGACCATTCTAGCCGAGGAGAACCTGCCCTTCGCCAAGGAGATCGTCTCTCTCATCGAGGCCCAAACCGCCAAGGTTTTTATACACCCCGCAGCCTCCTATTCTTCTCATACTCCTTGATTTTTAGGGTCAGCCTCATCCCAGGTCTCGCTTCCATCCGAAGGGGACGGACGGACGGAGTTTCCTCCTCTCCGACCTCCCCCCCCCCCCCCCGACTCGGCTCGGTCTTTGGCCCCGGGCTGGGGAGCGTGGGCCTCTTTTTTTTCGGGGAGGGAGCGGGGAGGATGCAGGGTGGAGCCCCGTTTCCGCTCACCAACTCCCTATTTAGGCCACCTCGGAGGACGTCCCCACGCTCGCACGCTTCGGGGACAGCCCTTTCGGATCGGGGCGGGGGGTGGGGGAAGACTTAGAGGCAGTTTTGTGGTCTTGGGAGCGTGAGAGTTAAAACCAACCCTCTGAAGCCCCCGGGAAGGTGGGGAGGGGCCTCTCCCTCAGTGCCCTTTTGGGGAATTGTGCTCTGCGGGTTGGAAGGAGGTGAAGGGGGACCTGGGAGCGAGCTGTCTGGTGGGTTGGGTGTAGGGAATTGGCCCCGAGTGGAGCAGCGGCCTGTTAGCTCAACATGGCGCCTGCAAAGCACATGATGCGAAAGGGAAGAGCGGAGAATCCATTCCCTGCCAGCCAGGCAGCTGCTCACACCCGTCAGCCCCATTTTGGGGGTGGGGGATGTTAGATCAAACTTTTATTCTCCTCTCGGAGGGTCTGATTCGCCCCAGTGGTAGGGAAATTGGGCCGAGGGTGGGGTTTGGATGTGGGGGGGGGAAGATCTTATCCAACCTGTAGGTTGAGACTTGTCCCTGTGGGTAACAAATACTTGGAGGTTTTTTGTTTTATTTTGTTTTTTTAAATTTCAGCCCCTCCTTGTTCTTTCTCTTTTTTCTCCCTTCCCTGCTAGTGAAGGCTTTCTTTTCTTCACCCCTTGGCCGAAGTGGTCTTTGGCCACGTTCTGTTGCCCTCTTGTCTTTCTCTTCTGTGGATTCATGTGGGAGCGATATGTCATTTAAGCAAAGTTACTGTTAAACTTAGTTATAATGAGTCTTAGCCGCTTCCCAATTAATACGTTTTAAGTTACTTTTCAAATTTGTACTTAAGGTTTAGGTTTTTTTCCTAGTTGTTAGTGATTGCAGTTATCAGGATGAGCCTCCTTTTAGCAGAGTGAACCCCTTTTAAAAGGCCACTTTAACAACAACCACCAATACATTGTTTAGAGACGGTTTCTGTCTAGTGTAAAACTCAGTGGTCTGACTCTAATAAATGGTTTTGAAATGTGTGACTGGTATTATAAAATTTGTGAATAAAACATATAAAATATGTATTTGTCTTTTTTATTTACCTTTGTAAGGTGTAGAATCTGTTTCCAAGAATTTTTACTTACGTGGTTGTGTGTTTTAAACAAAAGTCTTTAAGTGACTTGGGTTCATTCTTCTTTAGGTCCATCCACTCTTTTGGGTAAATCAGTTCACAAGATGCACGGTTTCACGTGGTCCTTTCATACCTTTATTTAAAGAGGGGGAAAAGAGGTTTTTGTTTTTTAAGGGCTCAGCAGGTTTATCATGCGCATTTTGACAGCTAAACAACTCTCCATTCGCCTTTCCCGCTGAGGCTGTGAAGCAGCTGCTCTTAAAGGGTGGGCTATAAGAAGAACGGGCTTAGCTCTTCGTTGACAACCGACAACCGTGCCTGTTGTCGGAGGAGAGGTAGCTTTGCCTTGTTGAAGACTTAAATACCTTTTTAAAGAGAACGGCACTTGGACTTCTGAGAACCAAAGTTTTCAAGCTATGTTTTGGGTATTGGTATTCACAGCACCTAATACTTAGCAGCTCAGATTGCCACTCAAAGGAGAAAGCTTCCTTGCTGGTTTTTAATGGATCTACAAGACCTTGGAGAACTGAACTTTGTGCAGAATATATTGACCACATAAAACTTGTATTTATGTATTTGGTTACACAAAGTGGTGAAAATAGATGGAGTATTTGCTGGTAAAAGACAGCTCAAAGTTTTAGGCACATGCTTCCTGGTTATTTTTGTAAAGCCAGACTAGAAGTCACTTTGGGGAAAGAACCTTAACCTGGGTTGGGGGTGAGGGGAGGGTTTGCTGTCATTTGGTAGCAACTGGCTTGGTTTTTGTATTTCTGGAAGTGTATGCTTGTGTCCTTATTCTTTAGCAATACTAAACTAATGGACTCACAGTTTCGCCCTTCCCGTAAGATAGCAGTAGCAACAAAGAGTCTCACATAGAAGGACTTCACTTGTACAACAAAACTCTAGCCTATGGACAGATTGTGGTGTTAAAAGAGCCCATTTATCTTCCTAAGGAACAATAATTACTTAAATGGTATAAAACAAGACATGATAAGGTGAAGACACAGCAATAAAGCCTTTGACGAGTTGGTACTAAATAGTTTGCCCACACACAGTGGCCGTGTGACCCCTTTTAGTAGCACCTAAGTTTTTCATAGAGTTATCCAAACATTTCTTTAGTCAACTTTGGTTGTAAAGGTGTTATCAGAAGCAAGAGCATTTCCACACACTTGTCAGGGCAGTTGGTTTTGTGAAGCATGGCATTGCATACCCCAGGAGTATGAGTCTGCTCTAGCTACAGGTAGCTGTGGGTAACTGTCCAGTTAGGTTCATGTACACATGGGGTGGGTAGTTGGGGATTCACTTAATCAGTTTTGTTTTCTGAAGTCGTGGGTACGTGTGGAGTCAGTTAACAGCTTATGGCAAGTCTTAGTGCTCCTCAACAAGTCTGTGAACCTGCTGATGCTTTCTGGAAGCTTGCTGTGCCTTCTAAAAGCCAGTGGTGGGTAGGCTTTGCAGTTCACCCGGGGCGACTTTGCCTTGGAAGGGCTGCTACCTTTATCAGCGGCAGCACACTGGCTCAGCACAAACTTAGAATCCCTGGTTTGTGCATGTAAGAGGAGACGTATTTCGGCGACAGTCCATGCTGTGAAGAAAATCTCCAGGACATCCAGGTTTCCAGTCAAGTTGAACCTGACTTACATGACTCAGCGGCTCCTCTATCCAGTTTTTCTTGTATCAATAACAGGCTTGCACTTCTGCGTGTTCATGTGCAAGTTCTAAGCATCTTGCCATTGTCTTTGTATGTGAAGTGTGTTTAATTTCATTCTTCATTTGGATTATAGGAAAGTAACCAATGATTTTCTAGGTAACAGAGTTTCAAAGTCTTGAACATATAAAGTTAACCAGGGAAACCAGAGAGAGTACTTCGAGGCACAACATAAGTACAGATCTCAAAGCTGACCCTTGGATTACAGAAACTATTTTCCCTCCCCTTTGAACACAGGCCTTTTTATTACATGCACCTGAAATCAGGTTGAGTATTAAGTACTAGAGGTTATGGTTGTTCTTGATAACTGAGCTTTTTTTTTTTTTAAGTGCACAGCTTAAAACATTGTAAGAAGCAAGTACTTGATCGAACACTTAGGCTTATAAACTTAATCAAAAGCATTTTGTACCAACAAAGCTAGAGGTCTGTATTGTAGGTTTAAAAACACTTTTTTAACTAATTTCTTGGTGGCAATTTCCTATACTAAACTTCTCAGTTTCTTTTCATACTTAGGCTCCTTCTTCAGAGAAGCTTCCTGTTATGTACCTTATGGATTCTATCGTGAAAAACGTTGGAAGAGAGTATCTCACTGCCTTTACTAAAAACCTAGTTGCAACATTTATTTGTGTGTTTGAAAAGGTACATATATATACATACATAATTAGAAACATTGAATTTTTATAATGTTCCAGATGAAATAAATACTTGTCTTGTGTTGGGTTTTCTTGGGTGGTGGAATGTTTCATTTTCCTGGACATTGATTGTCAAGTGCCTTTTCAAGGAAAGTGGCAAATGCTAGGTTTTTCTATTAGAGCCTTAAAACAGATGCTGCTTAATCACTCAAGATGCGAATATACTTTGATTAGCTTTTAGAATTGTGTATTTTCAAAATGTGAGTATGGGTCTCGTGAAGTTGTTTATAATGTGGGCAAAAAGTTGCAGCTTGCAGAGCATTCATCTAGATTTTGTGTTGTTGAAATGTCCAGTGCTGGGGAGCGGGAGGCATATTCCTCCAGGGTGCCTCAGTCTATGGTTCCTACTATTCATTCCCCCAAATGCCCTTTGGACATTGTTACATTGTTGAAGTGTAAGTTAAAGGGATGTGTGCTTGGTGGACCAGGTTCTTATGGAAATACTTCTATTCTTGTCTGGTGCTTGGGAGAAATGCTTGTTAGTGGCCATACCTAGAAATTGTATATACCGTTGTGACCATGTAATTGGTAGTTTGGTTAAACAGGAGGGCTTTTCTGAGGTAATTCCATCACATTGAGCAGAAAGGCCCTTGAGGTATTTAGGTTTAAAGATTCTTTTCTGACAATCGCTTATAGTTTATGTTATGTTTTATTAGACACACTTCTTATAGGACATATTTTAACAGCTGCCCGAGTGCTAGAATTAGGCAGCAGTTTTTCTTTTAATAAAAAAAACCACAATTAGATCTTGGGATAGAAATACATAGGAATAGTTTGGAGAGCTGTATTACTAAAAAAGTATCAGCCCACTGTGCAGTAAGTAATTTAGAGCAACTTAACCTGGTTTCAATTTTGGCATGTTCCCATTATTTGGGGGTTTGGTATTATTTTTACTGAATCTAAATTTAGTTTTTTTTTTTGTTTGTTTGTTTTTTCGAGACAGGGCTTCTTTGTGGTTTTGTGAGCCTGTCCTGGAACTAGTTCTTATAGACCAGGCTGATCTCGAACTCACAGAGATCCGCCTGCCTCTGCCTCCCAAGTGCTGGGATTAAAGGTGTGCGCCACCACCGCCCGGCTAATTTTAGTTTTATTATACTTCATAAAAATTACCTTGTAAATACATTCTCTAAAGATATGAATATAGATAAGAAGATTGAAATTAAAAACTTGCCTTACTAAGTCCTGGGCTTTTCTGTTTTCTAAAAAATAATTTTATCCATTACAATATGAGTAGGCAAGTTATATAATGCCCATCCTTGGCTAGGATTTTGTCAATTAAAATATGAGGGTGTTTTCTGTCCCAAAGTATAGCATTTCATAGATAAAATAGTCGTAGTGTGTTGTGTTAGATTGGCTAGGTAATTTTATCTTTTATGACAGTATGTTACTAGCAAGTAACTTTAAGACATTGGCCATCAGGTAAACCATTTCTGGTTTTATGTTTATCCAGGGAGTTTATTAGAAATACTATATTAAGCCCTACTATATGGAGACTTTTTAAAAATGCAAAAAGTTGCTTGGGTTGCTTGCTTGAAGTCTGTTAGATAAGTACTTTTCTAATTTTTTTTTGAGGAGTAGCTTTATTAACTTTAATCAAATGTTTGATATTAATGTACAAATGGATACTATGTGTGAATTGGCAGGTAGCTTTCTACTTAGTATATGAAACATTCTATAGTAACTTAACAAGCCAGAGAATTGTTCTGTTGTTCTAGGTGGATGAAAATACTAGAAAAAGTTTATTTAAATTACGTTCCACATGGGATGAAATATTCCCTTTGAAGAAACTTTATGCTTTGGATGTCAGAGTCAATTCATTAGATCCTGCTTGGCCTATTAAACCTCTGCCCCCTAATGTGAATACATCTAGCATCCATGTGAATCCAAAATTTTTAAATAAATCGGTAAGTCTTTATATGAATGGCTTATATGCTAAACAATTTGACTATCAAGCGCTAACTTCTGTAAACTTTTCAAAAAGTAAAACTAGAATCATTTTGATTTGAAAAAGTAATACATGTATATAGTAATAAATGACTTACTATGAACATTTGCCATTTTAAATGCCTAAGCATTTTTGTGTGTGTGTACTTTTAAGTGTGATTGAAGATTTGTGACTTTGAATAATAGTAGGGTAAAGTTGATAATTTTTAGTTTTAGCTATGATATGTTTTGCTTAAAAAGTATTTTTTTCTTATAGCCTGAGGAGTCTTCAACACCTGGCCCAGTGGTCAGTTCCCCCAGTATCTCCACTCCTCCAATTGTACCTGAAATACAAAAGAATCTTACCCAAGAACAACTAATAAGGCAGCAGTTACTCGCAAAACAAAAACAGTTATTAGAGCTTCAGCAGAAAAAGCTGGAGCTTGAGTTAGAACAAGCTAAGGCACAACTGGTAAGTAAGGGAGATTTGATGTTTAAATCTTTAAACATTCTAATAGGGAAGTAGTTATTTTGTATATGAGTATTTTATTGATGTTTTTCCTACTTATTTTAAAAATTGTATTAAGCCAAAATTTTATAATCTTACTATAAAACACTTGGTTGTGAACTGTATTTTGTTTCTCAGTATTTTCTACTAGATTACTATCTTAGGATGTAAAATATATATATGGCTAGTATTGGGTTCTCCCGTATAACAGCCAACCAGGTTTGATGGCACAAGTCTCTAATCTGCACTTGGGAACCAGAGGCAGGAGAATCAGAAGTTCAAGGTCATCCTTAGTCACACGGCAAGTTTGTAGCCAGCCAGGCAGAATGTCTCAAAACACTAGGGAAACATTTATTCTTATCGAGGTAGCACTGTAGTTTGTTTCCCATTATCTTCATGGAGATTTAATATTTTAGTCCTAAGATAGTAAGTATATTGTAGTGAATGTCTTTAACATTCAGGAACAAATCATGTTTCTAAAAGTCTACAAAAGCTACAAATATAGAGACCCGAGAGTGTATGTATCTGTACTCATCAAACACTCTATTTTTTACTTAGCATCCAAGTTTGAGATTGAGGTATAGAAAGACGGAGTTTTTATAAAAGTTCATTAATGTTTTGAGAAATGCTTTTATGACGAAGTTTAATTAGAATCACCCTGTCTTTTTGTACAGAGCAGTTGGAGTTTAGTCATGTAATTGTTTTTGAGTAACAGCATGGTTTACAATATTGGATAGTTTTGAAGAATTATTGTAGTAGAAATTATATTCTAAAATACAGGTTAAAGGCCTGGTAAGAAGCAAGATCGTTTTAAGTGCTTGTACTTTCTCTCCTTATATTTATTTTACCTTAGAAGTGTAGAGTATTGCCATGCTTGGTGATGCTTGCCTTTAGTTCCAGCACTGGGATCTAGGGATAGGCAAACGTCTGTGTGACAAGTCCAGTCTGATCTGGGTTATATTGTTAAGACCCTTACCCTCTTTCTTTTCCCTCCCAAAAAAGTGTGTAGTGTTAATAACGCACTATCAAGCGAATAAATTTAGTAAAAATGTTCTAATTTTGACTATAGTCTATGTAATGGCAAGGAAATAAAATAGTGTTCATGGGTTATGGTATTAACATGAACATTTTGTATTTCAGGCAGTATCTCTTAGCGTTCAGCAAGAGACAGCCAACTTGGGTCCTGGATCAGGAACATCTAAGTTACATGTTTCACAGATTCCCACTATGACTGTTAAAACTCCACATCAGGTTCCTGTGCAATCTGACAAGAGCCGACCAGGTTCATCCTTACAAATTCAAGACTTGAAAGGAACTAACCGGGATCCTCGTCTTAACAGGATGAGCCAACATTCATCCCATGGCAAAGAACAGAGTCATAGGAAAGAATTTGTAATGAACACATTAAATCAGTCTGATATTAAAACAAGTAAAACTATACCCTCTGAAAAACTAAATTCCTCCAAGCAAGAAAAAAGTAAATCAAGTGAAAGAATAACCAAGAAGGAACTTGACCAATTAGATTCTAAATCTAAATCTAAATCACCATCACCTTTGAAAAACAAATTATCACACCCAAAGGACTTGAAAAATCAAGACTCTGAAAGTATGAGGTTGTCTGATATGAACAAGAGAGATCCACGATTAAAAAAGCATCTTCAGGATAAAACTGAGGGCAAAGATGAGGATGTAAAAGAAAAAAGAAAAACTACAGAAAAGAAGGATAAAGATGACCACATGAAATCATCTGAACACAGACTGATGGGAAGTAGAAATAAAATCATAAATGGCATTGTCCAAAAACCGGACATGGTTACAGAAGAATTGGATAAACAGGGGACAAAACCAGGGAGATCAAGTACTCGAAAGAGATCCAGATCAAGGTCACCTAAGTCTCGATCACCGATTATACATTCCCCAAAGAGAAGAGATAGACGGTCACCCAAACGAAGGCAAAGAAGTAGTATGTCTCCAACTTTGACCCCCAAAGCTGGAAAGATGCGTCAGTCAGGACTTAAACAGTCACATATGGAAGAGTTCCCACAATCTTCCAGAGAAGAAAGAAATATTAAGAGAAGTACTAAGCAGGATGTTCGAGATCCCAGACGACTGAAAAAGATGGATGAGGAACGGCCGCAAGAAACTGCAAGTCAACATTCTATGAAGTCAGGTGCTGAGCCAAAGGAGAATATAGAGAATTGGCAAAGCTCTAAGTCTGCCAAAAGATGGAAATCTGGTTGGGAAGAAAATAAAAGGTATGTTGCTGATGTTTTTGGTAAAGTATGATTTTTATTTTGATGTTTTTACTTTATTAAGGCAAGGTTCTCACACTTTTATTCAGGCTAGCCTGAACTCACTGAGTAGCATAGGCTGGCCTCCATCTCATGGCAGTTTTCCCACCTTCGCCACCCGAATGCTGGGATTATAGGTAGGATCCATTATTCCTGGCTTTAGAATATGCATTTTAAAGGTAGTTTAATTTAACATCAGAAGATACTAATTGAATGTTATAATTGTTTTTCTAGTTGTGAAAAACAACCCAGTGGGTTAGATACTTCCTATTTCATAGAGACATGAAAGTTTAGAAAGGTTTGCTAATCTACTTGGTTTTATGTTTATATGTAAGAAACAAAGTTACTTGGTTTTATATTTGTTTTTAATTGATGTTCACAGGGTCGAGCTATGTAGTCCCACCTGGCCTGGAATATGCTTGCTAGCCCACTTTGTCCTTGAATTCATCATTTTATCCCATCCGCTTGTTTTCCTTTTTGATGGGGTTAGGGTGAGGATGGAATGGGGGTGGTGCTGCTATTGCTGCTGCCAGGGGTCAAACCTGGGATCTTGCACATACCAAACAGCAACCATTCCCCCCGAATCAAATCTTCAGCCTTTAAAAATCAGAATTCTTACTCTATTTGGCTTTTTCAAAAAAATTTTATGTACTTTTTTTTTTTTTTAAATCAGATCTTTAAAGCATTCTTAAGTACAGCCTGGGAGTTTTGTTTTTTAAATAAATACTTTGAAGTAACACTGCTTTTGTGGTTTCAGCTTACAGCAGAGTGATGAACATAGTAAACCTCCTCATCTAAGGCATAGGGAGAGCTGGTCAAGCACTAAAGGAATCTTGTCACCTCGAACCCCAAAGCAGCAACATCGATTAAGTGTTGATGCCAATCTTCAGATTCCTAAAGAGTTAACCGTTGCAAGCAAAAGAGAATTACTTCAAAAGGTAGTGACTATGTTTAATCTCATCTAGTCATTATGTTCTTTTGCCCATGTTTTTGTATTTTTAATATTTAAAATATTTCATTTCATTTTATCATCCCTATGCAGACGAGTGAACGTTTAGCTTCTGGTGAAATTACACAGGATGAGTTCCTTGTTGTTGTACATCAAATTCGACAGCTATTTCAGTATCAAGAAGGTAAACATAGATGCAATGTACGGGATAGTCCTACAGAAGAAAATAAAGGTGGATTAAAAAAGAAACCTCTCTTATCTGATGCTGAATTAACCTACTATGAACATAAAGCAAAACTGAAAAGGACACAGGTTCAGCATTCATTTCCAAGACTTGATCTCTTAGATCCTGATCTTTTTGACTACCCTTTGACTGATGCCTTGTTGTCTGGAATAGAATGTGAGCCATCCAAAAGTAAACATGCAAGTAGGAATAGTGGAGCACAGTTTGACAGAAAAGAACAATTTAGTGAAAGAACAAGACGTCTTTCTCCTGTATCTGGGAGTCGTACTTATGCTGAGAATCTTTCACCCCATGAGGGCCGGAGAAGACATGACGAGCAAGTCTCTGCTAAAGGTAGAAAAAGTTAAATGAGATTATGCCTATTGAATCACACAGCAGTGAAGGGAAAATGAACAAGCTAAGTGGGGCTGAATCTTACCACTATTCAGACTTCTTTGTGTGTGTGTATGTGTGTGTGTATCTCTGTTTTGCCTTTCCTTCACCCTCCCATGGAAAGGGAAGGGACCTAATTTTTTTATATGTATATTTAATTTGATTACGCCCCCACAAAACCCAAGCAAATGTGTATTCTAATTTTACGACTAGGAAACAAAACTAGAGATGTTAAGTAACTTGCTCTCAAAGTCCTATGACAAGTACCTTGACAGGATGGGAATTTTTTTAACCCCAGGTATATCTGAATCAGAAGGGCATCTTCTTAACCTACTGTTGCTGTTTGTCCCTTCCCTACCCACTAATGTAATGAGATAATACATCTTTGGATAAGTTTTTAGATAACTATAAAAAGGAGTAATTTAAATTCAATTGTAGTGAAGATATATATTTTTCTTTTTAAAAGGTGTACGAGAGGAGCAGAGATCTCCATTCAATGATCGTTTTCCACTTAAGCGACCTAGATATGAAGATTCAGATAAAACATTTGTAGATGGCCCAACATCAAGATTTGCTGGCCTTGATACAAATCAGCGACTTACAGCTTTAGCTGAAGACCGGCCATTATTTGATGGACCTGGTAGGCCATCTGTGACGAGAGATGGCCCGAGCAAGATGATTTTTGAAGGACCTAATAAATTAAGCCCTAGAATTGATGGACCTCCTGCACCAGGTTCTCTTCGGTTTGATGGGTCACCAGGACAAATGGGGGGAGGAGGCCCTATGAGGTTTGAAGGACCACAAGGTCAGTTAGGAGGTGGGTGCCCTTTGAGATTTGAAGGTCCTCCAGGACCAGTAGGAACACCTCTGCGGTTTGAAGGGCCAATTGGTCAAGGAGGAGGAGGTGGCTTTCGATTTGATGGTTCACCTAGTCTGAGGTTTGAGGGATCTGCAGGTGGTTTGCGATTTGAAGGGCCAGGGGGTCAGCCTGTGAGTGGTCTCAGGTTTGAAGGACATCGTGGTCAACCTGTGGGTGGTCTGAGATTTGAGGGACCTCATGGACAGCCTGTGGGCAGTCTTAGATTTGAAAATCCTAGAGGTCAGCCTGTAGGTGGACTTAGATTTGAGGGGGGTCATGGTCCATCAGGGTCTGCAATTAGGTTTGATGGGCCTCATGGTCAGCCAGGTAGTGGTATCAGATTTGAGGGCCCTTTGCTGCAGCAAGGAGTTGGAATGAGGTTTGAGGGTCCCCATGGTCAGTCTGTAGCTGGTCTGAGATTTGAAGGACATAATCAACTAAGTGGGAACCTTAGGTTTGAGGGACCACATGGTCAGCCGGGGGTTGGCATCAGGTTTGAAGGACCTTTAGTTCAACAAGGAGGTGGAATGAGGTTTGAGGGTCCTCTACCAGGAGGTGGCATGAGAATTGAAGGGCCTCTGGGTCAAGGTGGTCCTAGATTCGAAGGTTGTCACTCTTTAAGGTTTGATGGACAGCCAGGTCAGCCATCCCTTTTACCAAGATTTGATGGATTACACGGCCAACCAGGTCCTAGATTTGAAAGAACTGGTCAGCCAGGTCCACAGAGATTTGATGGGCCACCTGGACAGCAGGTTCAACCAAGGTTTGATGGTGTACCTCAAAGATTTGATGGGCCACAACACCAGCAAGCATCAAGATTTGATATTCCTCTTGGCCTGCAAGGCAACCGATTTGACAATCATCCTTCACAAAGGCTTGAATCTGTACCTTTCAATCAGACTGGCCCATATACTGATCCACCTGGCAATGCTTTTAATGTTCCATCTCAAGGATTACAGTTCCAAAGACATGAGCAAATATTTGATACACCCCAAGGACCAAATTTTAATGGACCTCATGGCCCTGGAAACCAGAATTTCCCAAATCCCCTTAACAGAGCTTCGGGACACTATTTTGAGGAAAAGAATCTTCAGAGTTCTCAGTTTGGAAACTTTGGCAATTTACCTACTTCGATGTCAGCAGGAAATATCCAGACATCTCAACAGGTAAGCTATTTTAGTTATTCTAAAATTATGTGGTAATTATATGTAGGTAAATAAATTTATTTTTGAGACAAAGTTCTGTAGTTCAGGCTACTCTCAAATTCTCTGTGTAGTCAAGGTTGAGTTAACTTTTTTCTTTTTAATTGTTTCTAGCATTTGGGAAAAGCTTTAAGAGTAATTTATGATGGGTTTTTGTTTTTGTTTTATTTTATTTTTTTACGAGAGAGGGTTTCTCTGTAGCTTTTGGTGTACGTCCTCAAACTAGCTCTTGTAGACCAGGCTGGCCTTGAACTCACAGAGATCCTGCCTCCTGAATGCTGGGATTAAAGGCCTGTGCCACCACCGCCCAGCTAGTGTGTACATTCTTAATGTACTTCCAACAATGTGTATATTAGGAAGTGGGATGAGAGGTTTTTTTGGGGTTGACATTTGCTACTCTTCAAGACACTGGGCCATTGCAGTCTTCCTCTTTATTTCTTCCTTTCTTCTCAGTGTACATGTACACTTATTTTGTTTTAAAAAGATTGTGTTTTAATTTATGTGTATGTATGTGTGTATGTTTGCAAGTGTTTGTGACTGCCTGCAAAGGCTAGACACAGAACATTGGGGCACTGTGGGCTGCTGGGAACTGAACTCAGGTCCTCTGGAAGAACAGAGCAGGAAGTACTTCAAACCACTAAACTATCTCTCTAGGCCATTTTATTTTATTTTATTTAATTTTTGTGACAAGGTCTCATTTCGCCTTGGCTGGTGTTGAGCTCTGTAGCAGGAGGAGACTTTGAACTTGCTTCTCTTGTCTCCACTTGTGGGGTGCTGGAGTTATAGGCATGCTCATTGTTTTCAGTGCTGGGGATTCATACACAAGGGCTTCGTGTGTGATAGGCAAGTGCTCTACCTGCTACTGAACTATTTTTTACTTTTTTTAAAAAGTAAAAAACAGCATTATTTTGTGTGTTTGTGGAAGTTGGAGGAAAAGTTATGAGACTCACTTCTCTCCTACCCCTGTGGGCACCAGGTCATCAGGCTCCCTGGCAAGCACCATTACCAGTGAGCCATCTTGCTGGCCTTACTGCACTTTTGTGGAGTTATTTTCTGTTTTTTAATGCTAATAATGTTTTTATAGACCTCCGTTACCTTGAACAGCATATTGAACCCTGTTTAAACGAACCCAGTAGAGCGGATTTTCTTAGACTGTTTTTTGACTGATATTTTCCTTAGTGTGAGATAAGAAATAAAGTTCTCCATACTTTTATTATTATTTTCTGTTTTCAGCACTGTCTTTAGCTAACTGTGGTTGTATACAATGAGTGGCATGACATTCATGTAAACAGAGCCAGCTTGTTGCTTGCCTTCTAAATGTATTGTCATGTCATTGTCTCCAGTCAGCCACCCACTGACTGCGGCCTTCTCGTAGGTCAGCCTAGCTGGAGCTTACTGTGGAATAGCTCAGGTTTGCCTTGAATTCTGCCTTTTTTTTTCTATTTTGGGACAGGTTTCTCTGTGTAGTCCTGGCTCTCCTGGAATTTGCTCTGTATTCCCGGCTGGCCTTGAACTCACAGAGATCTGCTTGCCTGCCTCTGCCTCCTCAGTGCTGTGAATTCTGTGAATTAAGTGTGCGCCAGTAGCCCACGCTTTGTTTTCGAGATCTGCAGCTCAACAAGACTGAGCTCATCTCAGATCCACTTGCCTCTGCCTCTCAGGAGCTGGGAGTCATGAGCCACCACACCCAGCTTCTGCACACATTTTAAAAAATGTGTATTAAAGTAGTGGGTTCATGGGATATTTTTAGTCTGTTGATTTCTGACTGCTTATATTTGCTTGTTGAACTTATCCTTGGTTAAATTTACTTTTCCAGTTGCTGATCCTTTACTAGGATAGATTCATTTTACAGTAGTTGGATTACATTGAAAGAGATGGAAAAGAAGAATTTTTAAAGCATATTCCAAATTTTATTGCAAGTCTTCTGTTCATTTCCAATAATTTGGTTAAAAATATTTGTCCTACCTGTTAAATTTGTACTTCCTTAAAAGAAATACTATTATTACTAGATTTTCTATAATTGTATTTTGTTTAATCTTTTTTCTGTGACGTTACTTTATTTGTGTGTGTGTGTTGTTTACACTATTAAGAAGTCACATGGATAGCGAACAAGATTTATTAATAAATATTTGTTTACGTAACGAAATCCCAAACACCAAGTTTGTATGTTAGTACAGTGCTTATTTCATAACTTTATTGCAATCTTTATCTTTTATGGTTCTGAAGCTTGAACTGAGGGTTTCTCAGCAGATGATGTACCGCTAAACCATATTTAACCCATTTAGCCCCTGCAGGTCTTCCCCATTTTGTTCTTTTAGGTAGGGTCTTAATGCTAGTCCAGGCTGCCCCAGAACTCAAAATTGTATAGTCAGAACAGTAGACCTGTCTTAATCTCTCAAGTGCTGGGATTACTGGTAGGAGCTACCGTTACCAGCTGGTTTTTTCTTTGTTCTTTGGTTTTGTTTGCTTGTTTATAATTCTCTTTGACTTTTGTAATCTACTTTGAACTCAGCTATAACCTTATCCAAAAATGATGGCAAAGAAGGATAACTTCAAGTTCATGTTGTACATAAAAGTTTTTCTTTGCTTTTTTTCAAGAGTCTTGCTAGCATAGCTCAGGATTTTTACATTTTCAGTCCTCTTGCCTCCGCCCCCAGTTGCTAGTAGTGGGATTGTAGTTGTGCCAACATACCTGGTTGAAACACTTCAGACTGGAAAAAGGCCAAGGTTAGGAATTCTGTCTTCTACCTTGCTAACTATAACTAGTCCCTGTTATTGTGTAAAAGTTTTATCTCTGTATGCCTATTCTATTTGTAAAATAAAGCACCCTTAGGGTCAAGTGATTTGTATAGCATAGGTCAGTCACACAGCTGGTTTGTGGGTCTTATATTTGCATGCTTTTTTTATTTTAAATACTTTTAAGGAAGTATTTCTCCCATCCCCTATAGGGTTTCTCCACGCAGCTCTGACTGTCCTGGAATTCTCTTGTAGACCAGGCTGGCATTGAACTCACTGGCATTGAACTCACTTTTAAAGGAAGTTTTAACCTATTCTCCGATCCTTGTGACTCTGAAACAGATAGGAGAAGGCGTTCTAGTTTGTGGAAGTAAACCAGTTGTTACTCTCAAAATCTTTATTATCACAGACCTTAGACCTTAAGACATTTGTGAAAATTTGTATGTGATTGATTAGAATGTTAAAATTGTACTTACAGAAAGATGTTCTTAAAATTAACATTTTTATCTTAAAGGTTCTGACTGGCGTTGCTCAGCCAGTAGCGTTTGGCCAAGGACAACAATTTTTACCAGTTCATCCACAGAATCCTGGAGCTTTTATTCAAAATCCTTCAGGTATGTCCTTCTGAATTGTGATATTTTCAAAAGATATATAACTTTTGTTGAATAGGTGTTGGTGTCGAAAATGGCATTTTTGAGAGATTGTGTTCAAGTTGTAGAAATGTAATCTGGCTGAAGAGTGTTTATCCTCCTTGTTTATGTTGTTTGGCAGATGGTCATGCAAACCTTATCTTATGGCTAGAGATGATTAGGCTGGCCATCAGGGAAGGAAACCTATTGAATAGAGGTTGGAAGTGGCTAGAGGAATGATAATGTTGTTCTGATAAGCTGTTTATCATTTAGGAAGCAATAAATTGCAGAAATTTTGTAGCTTTTTTTTGGTTTTCCTCAATACTGTTGTGATACTTGTTTTAATTTCTAAATCATAAGGCCTAGGGATATAATATGGCTCAGTGTTAGAGCACACCAGGTACCTAGCATGAATGAAGCCCTGGATTCAAGTGTGAGCACTGCCAAACAAACATTTCTAAGCTTCTTCAAATATGTACTTGTGGCCGGGCAGTGGTGGCGCACGCCTTTAATCCCAGCACTCGGGAGGCAGAGGCAGGCGGATCTCTGTGAGTTCGAGACCAGCCTGGTCTACAAGAGCTAGTTCCAGGACAGGAACCAAAAAAAAAAAAAACTACAGGGAAACCCTGTCTCGAAAAATCCAAAAAAAAAAAAAAAAAATGTGGAGCCTAAATGTGGTTTTGGTGATAGCTCACTTGTGTGGCAAGTACCTTATCACACACAAAAACATCCCAAACTAAAACCACAACTCCCCCAGGACAAAACAACAAACCCCCTCCAAACAAATGGTACTTTTAACATAGTATTGTTACTTCACAAATTTTTAAAGAATGTTTCATAACTTACAAACTAGGGAGGTTTTCATGAAACTACATTTTATGAAGTTCTTAAAATTGTGTCAGTTTGAATTTATTACATAGTTTTATAATTTCTAGATGGACAATTAGGATTAGGTAGTTGTTGTCGTCCCCCTCCCCTGCCCCCCATTGTATAGTTGTGGTTGGGCCAGTCATAAACAAGTGTTCCGACTATTCAGGTTATTTTCCTCTATAAAAAAAGAGATAGGGGCTGGAGAGATGGCTCAGAGGTTAAGAGCATTGCCTGCTCTTCCAAAGGTCCTGAGTTCAATTCCCAGCAACCACATGGTGGCTCACAACCATCTGTAATGAGGTCTGGTGCCCTCTTCTGGCCTGCAGTCATACACACAGACAGAATATTGTGTACATAATAAATAAATAAATATTAAAAAAAAGAGATAGTATCAGTATTTCTTGGAATTTTTCTTAAAAGAAAATAAAATGAGGTGTGCAAAAGTACTTTGTAACTTTTAAATGCCATATGAATATATTTTTCTTTAGAAACTAGTTTTTCTTGTTGAATAAAGAATTTGTTGGGGCTGGAGAGATGGCTCAGCGGGCGGTTAAGAGACTGACTCCTCTTCCAGAGGACCTGGGTTCAATTCCTAGCACTCACATGGCAGCTCACAACTGTCTGAAAATCCAGTTCCAGGGGATCTGACACCTTCACACCAATGCACATAAAATTAAGTTAAATAAATCATAAAAAATTAAAAGAAAAGAATTTGTTGTGAGTCAGGTGGTGGTGGCCCAGACCATTAATCCCAGCACTTGGGGAGGTAGAGGCAGGCAGATCTCTATGTGTTCAAGGTCAGCCTGGTCTACAAATGCTAGTTCCAGGACAGGCTCCAAAGCTACAGAGAAATCCTATCTTGAAAAACAAAACAAAAAAAGAATTTTTTTGTGGATAGAAATTTCTTGTGGATAGAAAGATGGCTTAGAATTTACAAATGCATTTTGCCTTTGTGGAAGACCCAAATTCAGTTCCCAGTACCCACAGTTAGGCAGCTCATAACCACCTGTAGTGTTCAGCGATATCCAGTGCCTCTGGCCTCTGTGGACATTTGCACACAGGTATACACACACACACACACACACACACACACACACACTCATTAGGAAAAGTTTGTTATACTGAGGTTAATGACGTGTAAAAACTATGGCTTTTCTTCTGGCTTTCAGAGAGCTGTGGTATACATACAGTCAAGGGAGAGCAATGTTGCAGAGGAAATGATGCTTTGTTCCCCTGGGTTGGGAATACTGAATGAGGCGTTATGTGTATTCTTCTTAAGTTGTACTTGTTCTTTTAAGAAGCATGAACTATTATTAGGAAGCTGTCTCTCAGGTTCCTTTAATATTCTTTAATTGAAAGAAAAAGTGCCCTTTCCCTTTAGTTCTATTCTTACTTATTCGCTGCAGAAAGGCATTATGTATGCTAGGAGGAAGTTAGTAAGCTTCATCCTTGAAAGAACTTTTAAGTGTGGCAGATCTGCTGTATCCTCCACCCTCTGCCCCCACACCCTTGAATACTGTATACTGTGCCAAATAGTACCTCATTGCCTTACAAATAGTATTTAACTTCATATCAACCTTTGGCAGGTACTATTCTTTTATAAGCAGTGGAAATTTAGGCAGCCGTAAGCTCACGTCTCACCAATCCCAGGAGTTGATATCAGAATGTTCTTTATCACTGCTGACCTCAGATACGTCCGACCAAGTCCATAGCTAATTCTCTCTCTTAGACATATAAATAGCTCCTTCTAATAGAATACAAATGTTGAACTAGTATGTAAATGCTATTGTAATTGATTAATTATTGAGATGGATATATTCCTGCATTCAGATATTTGAGTAGACAGCTAAATACATATATTTATAAAAGCACTGTGACGGGCATATATAACAGTTAAGGGTAGACTATATATATGCATTATGGATATGGATACAAATTGATTCCGCCATTAAGAAGAATGGAGATATAGGCAGATGGGTAACAGTGGTAAATACTAAACATTTATTTATATAATTTTATTTTGAAATGGGGTCTCACCATGTAGCCATGGCTGGCCTACAGCTTGCTGTGTAAGACCAGGCTGGCCTCAAACTAACAGATCTGCCTGCCTCTGAGTGCTGGGATTAAGGGGTGTGCCAAAATGCCTGATAAATCTAGGGCTGTCGAGTATGTTAGGGAAGTCCTCTGCTGCTGAGCTGCTGTCCTGTTTTTACAGTTGAGTTAAAGGATTAGTTTTTAAAATAGTGCTAGCAAAATAATGGGGGTGATTTTAAGGAGAAAATTGCTGTCTTATTCAAATAAAAATAAAGCTTTGGTAAAGTTCATAGTACTTAGCAGTGGTTTGAATTCCTTTTCAAGTTCAATTCAACAAACATCAGAGGGGCAGGTGTTTTCTGGGCTGTAGGTCTCATACTCCTGTATCATCAGTTCCTGTGGTTGATCATGCTTGGGAACAATGCACTCAGCAGTACCACTGCTTTGACTCGAGTCTTTGTTCGTGTGTTTGTTTTTCAAGACAGGGTTTCTTTGTGTAACAGTCCTGACTGTCCAGGAACTCCCTTTATAGACCAGGCTGGCCTCAAACTCACTGACATCTGCCTGCCTCTGCTTCCCGAATGCTGGTGTAAAGAGGTGTTTCGCTACTGCTTCATCCTTGGAGAGTTACTTTCTTGAGGTGGTTAGATCAGGACTAGCAGATTAGAAAGGTGGAAGTGGGAGTTAGGCATGATGTTGCATGCATAAAAAGGATCATAAGGCTTATTGTCCTTTGTAGCCTGCTTTTATCTGGAGCAAAAGTAACTAGACAAGCAATTGACAAGCAATACCCTTTTCTTTAATGTAAATACATATAAATATTAAATATTTATATTTTAGAAGTTTTTCAAGTAATGATTTGTTAAAAAGAAAACTTGAGCTTTTCAAATAATTAAGCCCATCATTAAAAAGATTTATTGTTGGTGGAATATCTTGAAGAAAGCTTCAATTTTGAAAAAATGTTTAATATGAATCTTTATGTTCCCTTTAAAAAGTTTTTTTTTTTTTTAAAGGAGGTCTGCCTAAGTCATATCCTGATAATCATCTCAGTCAGGTGGATGTAAATGAATTGTTTTCAAAACTACTAAAAACAGGAATTATCAAATTGTCACAGCCTGATTCAGCTACAACACGTGAGTATGGTTGTATATTTCATATACAGCAAGCTTAATTTAGAGATACATTACAGGATATAATAAGTTATGACAAATTTCCATACTTGAAATTTTAGGCATGTGGTATTGTTTGAAAACCAAATGTAATTTGAGTGATAATGAAAATTTTAACGATTTCTAAAGATTGGTCTGTCTTCATGACCACAGTTGTTTTAGTTGAGACTACTACAAATATTATGTGTACTGGTCTATCTTTAGTAGCTTGGGGTTTGAAAATAATTTGAATGTTGAAGAAACAAAATTTTAAGAAATTTTATTAAGTACCTTGGCCAATAAGCTTCATATCAAATGTACTTAATATCAGATAGATTTCTCTGTATATGCTTGTAACCAGTGTTTTGCTATAAAGAATGCTATAAAGGAATGTAGTATTGAGAAACTTATCTTCTCAACTGCAGAGGTAAATGAGGCTGTTGCTCAACCTCTTCCTGAAGAAGAGGAGGATCAGAATGAAGATCAGGATGTTCCAGATCTTACTAATTTCACAATTGAGGAATTGAAACAGTATGTAATGTTTTTAAATTTTTACTATAAATGTGCATGTGTTTGTATAGATATATAATGTGTATGTGTAAGAGTGGAGGTACATGCATGCCGCAGTGTTTGTGCGGGTTAGAAGGTGACTCTTTGGGAGTTGGTTCTCCCTTACACTGTGGGTTGTGGGGATTGAACTCAAACCATCTATCTTGTGTGGTAAGTACCTCTTTATCAGTGAGCTGTCACACAGGTCTTTTAATCTAATATTAGAGTCAGTTATTTAGATAACAGTGGCTTGAATTCCACCTTTTAAATATATCTGCTGCTCAAGTTAAATGTTAGGCACTAATAATTGTTCATATATTTATTTTATGTTTTTAATCTTTATTTTCTGTTATCATTTTCTTCTTTTTTTGAGATGTCTCTAGCTTAAGCTGACCTTGAACTCTTGCGTGTTGGGATTATGGGAGCCATTATGCTCTACTATCAGATACCAAGGAAACAAATGTAAATAAATAAGAATGTAAACATTAGGGGCTGGAGAGATGACTCTCATACTGCTTTTCCAAAGTTCCTGAGTTGATTCCAGGCACCCACATCAGGTGGTTCATAACCTGAATCTCCATGGAATCTGATGTCCATGGCACTTGCACCCATGTGCACATATTTACATACACATTAAAAACAATAAACTTAAATTACAATTTTCTATTTTTTATGCATATATTATTACTTATTATTTAAACTAGAGTGGAACATTTGAATTATTCGGAACATTGAAATTGTAGGGAGCTGAAATTTCTTGCCATAACGCTACTTGTCATGCCTTCTCCATAGTGACTCCACACTAAGCAGATGAATAGCTATTGCCTTGTTAGTTAGCCTATAGTGCTATTCCATTTTTATTACCAAAATAAGGGGCCAGGTTTATAAGAAAGTAGGCTCTTTGTTTCATCACCCTTAACCAGAGTTAAAGTCAAAAGGGTCAGGGACACATTAATCTCCACTTAAATCTTTCTGTTTGATTCCTGTTTAGATATGGAAAACTTAAGTATTTGTTATTTATTTTTAACCATTGCCATGTTTCAAAATTGAGAGACTTTGTTTTTCAAATAGACGTTATGACAGTGTTATAAACCGGCTGTACACTGGGATTCAGTGTTACTCCTGTGGAATGAGGTTTACGACGTCCCAGACAGATGTTTATGCAGATCACTTGGACTGGCATTATCGGCAAAATAGAACTGAGAAAGATGTTAGCAGAAAAGTCACTCACAGACGCTGGTACTACAGTTTAACAGTAAGTAACCCATGCTTCTGAGTTACCTAGATGTCAGCTATATTCTGAAGTAGATCAGTTTAAATAATTGCTGTAAAATTTGATCCATAGTATAGGGTGTTTTTTTTTTATATAGATTATTATTTTGTGTATGAGCATCTTGCCTGCACCTCCAGCTCCATGGATCTGACACCTCTAGCTTCCTTTGGTGCTGCACCCGTGTGCACATACACATTATTAAAAACAATAAACCTTTAGGAAGTGTATTTTTCTAATTTTTCCTTGTAATGCATACTATTACTAAGAGCTTTTAACTGTTTCTTAAACTGGAGTGGGACATGTTTACATGGTGTGCACTACATGCATGTAGTGCTTGAGGAAGGCCAAAAGAGGGTGTTAGAACCCGTGGAACTGGAATTAACAGATGAACATGAGCTACCATGTTGGTGCTGAGAACTGAATCCTAGTCCTGCAAAAGCAACAAATGCTCTGAGTCATCTCTTATACATGAAGTTTATCTTAAGTTAGTGGTGCCTATAGAATTAATAGGACATTATCATTAAGGTCTCAGTCATATCCTGGTTTGGTGGCATATGGCTGTAATCTTAGTACAAGTCTTATAAAAAAGCATATTAAAATAACATCAGTGCATATTTGTATGAAAGTGTTCCCTTAACTTTTAGATGGATTACAGTGGAGACAAAATAGTAAAAGCTTGAACATTAATGAACATAATCTTTTATATTAATTCCTTTTAAGGACTGGATAGAATTTGAAGAAATAGCTGATCTGGAAGAACGTGCAAAAAGCCAGTTTTTTGAAAAGGTTCATGAAGAGGTTGTTCTTAAAACTCAGGAGGCAGCTAAAGAAAAGGAGTTCCAAAGTGTACCTGCTGGACCAGCTGGAGCAGTTGAGGTAATAGAACGGTATCTGAATTCCCTGGCAGTGTTCTTCTTCCTTTACACACATTTATTAATTCACCTATGGGAGCACAGAGGGTCAGGTGTTCAAGACCAGGCCCAGCATATGGAATTGGATGCCAGTCTGGGCTACATGAAACATTATATATATTTATATGTATGTATGTGTATATATATACATACATATATACACAAATATATTTGTTTAAAACAGAAATTTAAAGGAAAAAAACAACAAAAACCCAAAATCACTCATGACTGTTTCATGACCAATTTGGAGTAGATGCCATCTGTGACTAACAGTGGTTAAGATGATATTAACCTTTTATGTGGAAGGCTTGTATAATCCACAATCTCCATTGAGCATTGCTTAAAATTCTCTTATTTTAAATTTCTTACTGAACTTAAAAGGTTTTTATTTTAATGGACAAATGTACATTTCAATTTTATATGATTTTATTTTAGAGTTGTGAAATTTGTCAAGAACAGTTTGAACAATACTGGGATGAAGAGGAGGAAGAATGGCACTTAAAAAATGCTATTAGAGTAGACGGAAAGGTAATTATTTTATATGGAAGGTTAAGTTCATGTTTTGTTAGAGTAAACTCACCATTTTGAAGATGATTCATATATAAATTGTCCAGCTGAGGCAGGGCCTTCAGCTGCCATTTGGTTAATAAATACATTTTAGTATTTGCATTTCCTACTGCCTGCAGTTTCAGGTGCTTGTTGTGTGGAAGTTCTGTAGATGAGTGCAAATTTAACAAAATGAAATTGTATGTGTAAAAATGTACGATTTTTGGTTAGTAAAAATGATACTGGACTTTAAAGTTAGAATGTTTCCTTTGGAGGTATCCTAGCAACCATATGCTTCTATGCTTACCCTTACATAGCAGGCCGTGAGGCTGATTCTAGACTTAGAAGTAGATTTCTGCCTAACTGCATTTCACCATTAAAACCATTATTCTCTTGAATACAAGGCTAGACATTTTGCACAAAGCCAAGTTTAAAGAGAAATAATTTTTCATATTCAAGTTAGATAAGTTTAAAATTTATGTTCTTATTTTTTTACCAAATGGTTTTTTCATCCTTCAGTTTAAAATTTAAAGGAAAAATCACTTCAGAATAATGTATTAGAATTGAACATGCATGTGAACAGCTGCTTTTTTTTCTTTAGATTTATCATCCATCGTGTTATGAAGATTATCAAAATGTAAGTTCTTTTTGGATATTGTATATATTTATTTACATTAAGAAATTTTAATACATATATTTTTTTAAGAAGAGGGTGTTCATTAACTATTGGCATTAGACAGGTTATGATGTACATTATTTATCACTAATATAAATACAAAAAAATTAAAATTTATTTGCTGTTTACTTGAATCTTTATAATTTTTATTGGCCCGTCAGAGAATTGTTGAACTAAAGATGAGAAGGATCACAATGGCAGTAAGTTTCTAGGGCTCTAGGAAGAATTTCCTGTCTTTTTTTTTTTTTTAATGTAGTGTCTAGTCACCATATAGAGGAATGATACTTCAAGATTTATTGAATTGTTTACTGCTATGTTAGGTGTGGTGGCACATGCCTTTAATCCTAGCACTAGAGAGGCATAAGTAGGAGAATCTTTTGAATTTGAGGCCAGCCTGGTCTTGATAATGAGTTCCATGATAGCCAGGACCATATAGACACCACCTCAAAATTTAAAAAAAAAAACAAAATTTGTGTGTCTGCACATTCATGTATTTGAATGGTAGTTACACATTATGTGGAGGTCAGAGGACAGCCTTGGGTGTTAAGTCTCCGGCCTTCCTTGAGTCTTGTTTTTTTGATTATACCAGGCTAGCTGGTCTACCGGTTCCTGATAATTCTCTTGTGTATCCAAATTTTATGTGTTGTGGAGATTTGAACTCAGGTTGCTTCCATCCATTGAGTCATCTCTTCTAAGCTCTAGTTATCTAAATGACCACATATAAAATTGTAAGCATAGCAGTCTAGTAGCCTTAGAAATTGAAATTGTTCCATTTGTAACTTGACTTTTCTAAACCAGTGGGGCATGTTGCCTGCTGATACTGGGTTTGATGGAGATTAGAGTATGCATTTAGATCACTAGATCAGTACTTCCTAGGGTATATTTTTGATTTAAAAATTTCTTAAAATCCCCATGAGTATTTAAAATTAAATCTAGACACACAAAATCACAAAGTTCATCCAGGGTTGTCCTCTGTAGCAGTTCAATACTGAAGCCTGTCTAACTTTATGTTAATGTACTTCGTTGTTGAGTGCATACTGATCAATGTTATTAACTTGTGGGAAGCAAGCAATGTAGTTGAATGTGGCATGTTTCTTGTCTGAATGAATAAAACTTAATGTTTGAACCTTCATTAGTACTTAATAGGGATTTTCATTTTGTAGACATCTTCTTTTGACTGTACACCATCTCCCAGCAAGACACCAGTTGAAAACCCTTTGAACATTATGTTGAACATTGTCAAAAATGAATTACAAGAACCCTGTGAAAGTCCCAAAGTTAAGGAAGAGCAAATTGATGCCCCACCAGCTTGCTCGGAAGAAAGTGTAGCAACACCCACTGAAATTAAAACAGAAAATGATACAGTTGAGTCAGTTTAAATAAAATGAGAAAGGTATGGTTTTCTTTTTTTAACACAAGCTGCTGTTGGATGTAGAAGGTGAAGTTTTTATGTATATAGAGACATATATCTATATAAATTGTCCAGCTAAGGCAGGGCCTTCAGCTGCCATTTGGTTAATAAATACATTTTAGTATTTGCATTTCCTACTGCCTGCACAGTTTCAGGTGCTTGTTGTGTGAAAGTTCTGTAGATGAGTGCAAATTTAACAAAATGAAATTGTATGTGTAAAAATGTACGATTTTTCACTTGTGAACTGTAAATTATAAATAAAAAAATATTTTTGCTATCCATGGAGTGTAATATTTATGCACACCATCAAATAAAGACAGTGTTTCTATACTTTTATTGGGTAAGAATGGAACTGAACAGCATCCTTAATGTGAGATTTTTTTTTCTAGTAGCTTCCCAGGACTTGAAACAAAGTTCAAACTTCGTTTTTCTCAAATAGAAAAGCCAAATTAAAAAAAAAAAAAGGACATATGTGTTCACATATAGATATGTATCTCCAACTAGAATCATCCACTTATCCATTTTTTTTGGAAAGTACGTAATGAAACAGTAATACTTACTTTTGAACTTGGACATTGATACCATCAAGCAGTTAACAAATATATTCAAGTACTAAAAGTGATTTTTTTTTCTTTAGAAAATATTTTTCGGATTGTCAATTTAATGCAAATGAACATATTTCAATTTTAAGTTACAGGGATTCTGTGTAAGAATGTTCATATGAAAAACATGGTTAACTTTTTCCTTTGTTGGTTTTGATTGAATTAGATGGATACCACGAGATGTTAATATTCATACATGTAATAAACTAAATGATGAAGAATCTTGGTTTGTATTTCTTGAGTGACTTTAGAATGTGACCCTTTCATGTGTTTTAAAACATGAGTGCAGTGCCACACTCCTAGATACAATATTTTACCATTTCTAGAAGATAGGGACATAGGGGGCTGGAGAGATGTTTCAGTGGTTGAGAGCACTGGCTGTTCTTCCAGAGGATCTGGGCTCAGTTCCCAGTACCCACAGGGCAGCTCACAACTACCTGTGACTCTACCTTCAGGGGATCCTACACCCTCATACTGACAGGCATGCAGGCAAATAACAATGCACATGAAATAAAGTCATTGTTTAAAAAAATTAAGATTTGTTTTGTGGTCAGAATTGGCGGGCGTTCTTTGTATGATTTCTTTAGTTATAGCACCAAAGGTTACTCTTAATTTATGACTACAATTTAGCTACTCCAAAAGTACAGTGTGAAACCTGATTCTGTCTTACTTTATAACCAAAGTAGATAAAACTACCAAACATTGTTCAGGAATAGAACAGTTTAGAAGTGGCCTCAGAGGACAGCTAAGGATGGAATGCACAGAAAATAGGGCCATAGCTGGAACGTTCCGTTGGAAAATTACCTTTTGATAAATCTGTGTACGTGGTGTCCAAGGAGGCTAGATGAGGGCAGTAAACCCCTTGGAACTTGAGTTGCAGCCAGCTGTAAGCTGCTGTATGGATACTGGGACCCACACTTGGTTTTCTGCAAGAGCAGCCTGTGCTCTTAAACTTTTGCACACTCTGTCCAGCCCCTATTTCTTTTTTTCAAAATGTTATACATGGCTAAACCACAGTATTCTTTTTTTGAGACTAAAAAGGCACACATGGTACATTTTCATGCAAGCAGACAAAACACCCATACACATTTAAAGAACAACAAAAAAGGGCACAAAACCCTCAAATCTCCAGTTAAAAGCAAAATATAAATGCATTCATTATAGGACAGCACAAATGATGCTATACATGAACTTTGCCATGAAAGAATTGTACTGTCCAATAATGAAGGCCATGTGTCCTGCTGCACATTCTTTTTTCTTGTAAGGTCACTGATAGCTACTACCAAATAATTATAAATAAGAAACCCTGTCTCGAAAAACCAAAAAAAAAAAAAAAAAAAAAAAAAGAAAATACTGGTAGGTAGGAAGATGATAAAGAATTACCAAAATGGAAAAATGCTGGTAAATTAAATTACAAAAATATAGTATGATTAAGACAGTACATGAGCCAGACATCGTGTACACCCTTAATCCCAGTACTTGGAGGTGCCTGGAGGATCTCTATGAATGCAAGGCCAGCTGGGCGGTGGTGGCGCACGCCTTTAATCCCAGCACTAGGGAGGCAGAGGCAGGCGGATCTCTGTGAGTTCGAGACCAGCCTGGTCTACAGAGGTAGTTCCAGGACAGGCTCCAAAGCTACAGAGAAACCCTGTTTCGAAAAAAACAAAAAAACAAACCTTCAAGGCCAGTAGGAACCACACAGTGAGACACAACTAGTATGTGGACATAGAGCTAATATGGGTACTTAGGCTAGGTGCAACTGCTAGTATGGACAGGTGTAACATTAGAGGGCTGCATTGGAATCAAACTGAGCGGACAAATGGGTTTGAAACAAAGCCAATGAATGGTCAGAGACATTACTGCTGAGATCTAGGTTTTTTCTGGGATGACGAATGGTATTCACATTTTGGACTGTCAGTTTCTACTCTCTCTTTGTAAGAGGACAAACGTGACAAAGTGGCTCTTATTCAAGGCCATCTAATAAAAACCTCCAAGTTGACTCTTAGGAATGACCAGAATTAAGACTTCAGCTCCCAAAGATAGAAAATGTCTACCCTCAGCTTTGGAGGAAAGAGTATCAACTACTCTGCAAAACAACCACAATAAAACTAAAGCTTCAGAAGACTTTCTGAATTAAAAGTTTTGGGGGCTAGAGATGGTTTAGCCTTTAAGAGCACTTGGTGTTCCTGCAGAGAACCTGGGTTCATATCCCAGCACCCTCAATGAGTGGATGACAACTTCTGTAATGCAGTTCTTGGGGCTGTGATTCTTCTGGCCTCTGCAGACAACAGGCAGATAGATGGTACACACATAATGGAGGCAATCACATAAGATCCTGAAAAAGTTGAAATTTTTGAGACCATAGAAAAATAGTTCATCTCCTAAAGTGAGGTTTCAGGTTGACTTTACAATGTTAATTTTCCTATGTAAAAATTTTGAAGTTTGCTCTGGAAACTACAATCACTAAATCCTTTAAGCTATTCACTATACATACACACACACACTCATAGTGAATGCCTCAAAGAGAATTATATTCTACGTAATTTCTCATTGAGTAGCTGGCATTATAGCTGTATCAAAAAAGAGGCTAGTAAAAATTACTGAGGAAATTCTAAGGAAACTTCTAAGTATGGCTGCAAAGAGATAAACGGACCAGGTGTGGTATAATTCCAGTCCTTCTAAGACAGAGTTGGGAAGTTCAAAAGTTAAAGGCCAGTCTAAACTACATAAACTCATTATCGGACAGGGGCTGAGACTACACGGTGGTACAACATTTTTATACGTGTAAGGCCCTTTGTTTGAGCTACAAAAAGAGAAAATGGGCAGGGAGAGGAATAGAAAATTAGCAGACTATTGTCAAGAATAGCTTCAATTTGTGGACCAGCGAGATGATCAGTAGGTAAAGGTGCTACCAACCAAGTCTTATGAGCTAGGTTTAAATACTAAAAAACCCATGTAATAGAAGGACTCCCACAAGTCCTCTGACTTCCACATGAGCACCGCAGCATGTATGATCCTCTACTACATTCACAGAAATAATGTGAAATTGAGAAAAAAAATGGTGGTCTCAATTCGGATGATGGTATCAGGTCTCTAATTCAAAACAGGGTCAGTTCCTAGAGGCAGGTAGAATGTTATTCAGCAAACAAAGAGTAAACCAAGAGCCCAAAATTATCCAAGGTATGTCCAAGGCAAGGGCATGGTAGAGGGCATCAGGGAGAGGTGTAGAGTGCATAGGCACAACAGGGTGTAATGGCAGGGTCCTCGCTACTTGGGAGACCAAGACAAAAAACCACCTGAGCCCAGAGAGTTTGGGCAAAACAGTGAAACTTCCTTAATTTTAAAATAAGTTTATGGAGTTCATGAGGACAAAGGTATAGAGATAGTTGTCAACACCAAACTGCCCTAAGCTGGCCCCGCTCTGGAATAATGCCCAGAGCTGATTTGTGGGAGATTGGCGTGTCTCATCACCTCACCATGCACACTGTGACACACAAAAATCCCACACAAAGTTTTAAAAAGAAACCAATTAAAAACAAGCCAGGTGTGGACACCTAATAGTCATTAACTAGAACTATAGTTTCCTATCTGAAAATAATTTCTATTTTCTGGAATGTTCCTATGTCCATTCTAGTAGGAATTTGCCTTGCTTCAATTGAGAAACTGATTTTACTGTCAACTTACCTTAAAATCTTATGCAATCCGATTTTGTATCTTGATGGTTTTATTAAAACTGCTGTTACCAATGACTGCCAAAACCAGTGTGCTTTTCCTTAGCTTAATTGTGAACCATTACCTTTAAAACTACCTTCCACTTTATATGTGGTGCATGCTTTTATTTGCTTATTTTTCATCCTAAAGAATTGAATAACAAGTATAAAGATATTCCCTTCACTTGTTATAGGGTCTTTCCAAACTTAAAATTCCCTTAAGATTAATTTTTAAGAACGAAGTGAGATTACATGCACTTGCTCTATTTGTTCTCCATTGCATCATAACATGAATTAATGCCTGTAGATCATATGTCTGCTACTATTTTGTATTTTCTATCCCTTTAATTAAAAAGACCAAGCACTGAGTGTGTGTTTACATCATGTGTGAATGCGTGTGTACGTGCCACAGCAAGTGTGCAGAGGGCACAGGACAACTTGCAGTCATCAGTTCTCTCCCACCATTCTGTGGGTTTGGAGGGCTCCAACACAGGTCATCAAGGCCTTTTTACACGCTGAGTCACCTTCTTGTCTCTGTATACCGTCTTATAAATGTCCTTTAATTGTCAAGTGTTCCAGTGACTACAGTTATCTATCTGAGCAGTGCATTTAGAAGACTTTACATAGTCACTGTAATTTATATTTAAATTCTGAATTATGGTTATGTTAGCTTCATATCTGCCAAGGATAGATTACTTTGAGATATTCTTTTATGATTATATAGTTCTTGACTCAAGTTTTGGATATTTGTATTTTCCTAAATTATCCAAGTCAATTTGCCAAATTATTAGTATATGTTATGTCAAATAATCATTTTTTTGATTTTTTTTTTAAAAAAGACCTCTATAACATGCTCCCCTTGTTTCCAAGACAGTTTTTTCTTCTTCTCTATCTCAGATTTGCGGTGTCCATTGTGTAGGTTTATCTATTCTATATAGCATAGCCCAGAAATGCAGCCTTTGCTA